CTCCCCTCTCTCTCTCTCTCTTACACAAACTTATCCCGTCATACTTTACGTGATATATTTGTGATTGTAATATGTACATCGACATGAACGTCAGAGCCTGGCAGATACCTGCGCTTTATAAATATCAATATTATTATTATTATTTTCTCTTACTGTCTCTCGCCTCCGCTCGCAATTGATTAGACACTCTTTCTCATCTATGCCACCAATCTCTTTTCCCTGAGTGAATTATGCATGTAGGACTGACCTCGATTTTGACGAAGTTGACGATAATTGGTCATTCATTGGTCATGGTCTTCGTGAAGTCTTGACGAGGCCATGACCAACGACCAAGACCCTTTTATACCAAGGACCAATCCCAGGGCTATCGGTTTAACAGGTAGAAGGGGAGGGGCATAGGGACACGAGCCCCCGAAAAATACAATGTCCTCCGCGGTGACCCTCGCGAATATCTGAAAATGTGCAAAATATCATTTCACGATTAGTGTTTAGTAACACTCTAAGCGCTGCCATGATCTAACATGTTTAGTTCAAATGTTATCTCGCAGAATAATAGTATCACTTAAATCATTACTTTTCCGCCACCCCCGCCGGCCACCAAATAAAAACCCTGGCTACGCCACTAGCAAGGCGAAGATTAATCCGTCAAACAAACTTCTTCTTCTTTTTTTTTGGGGGGGGGGGTGGGGGTGGGGTTGCGAGGAAATGTTTTCAATCACCTCAGATCACATGCATTGAAGGGATTTGGGAGATCAATTTTGGTTTCCTCATAATAATAAAGATCCCCGGATTGATAGGTGTAATGTTTCCTTTTGACGGTAAATACAATCCAGGCAAAATATTTGACCACCATAACCGATTATAATGGGTAAACTTTCATTTTGTATATGTTTATGTTTGCCATATTTCATTTTCTCTTCATCTCACTCCCTCTCTCTCTCTCTTTATCTGAGTGAAATGACGTATATAATATATTTGTGTTTTTTACCAGCGGTTTCTCCGTAATTAGCTTGATAAAATCATTCGTTACATCCACCCGTTCCAAAAATACAACAATTTGTATTTTGGCTGACTTTGCTTTTCTTGCTGTTTTACTTGCCCCGCCCCCCCCCCCTCTCTCTCTCTCTCTCTCTCTCTCTCTCTCTCTCTCTCTCTCTCTTTCTCTCTCTCTCGCTCTCTCTCTCTCTCTCTCTCCTTCCCCCATCTTCTCCCCACCTCACTCTCGCATAGAATTTGATTTTGTTTGTATAAGTGTAGTACCGTCTATACACGATATATATATATATATATATATATATATATATATATATATATATATATATATATATATATATATATGTATATATCTCACTATATCTTACAATAAAATACTAATATTTTGTTTCGTGAAATATTTCTCTTCAACTCTTAATGGCACCTCCATCAACTACGTGACAACGAGGTGCCGTCTTGGGAAACGCCTGCCCAAACTCGTTTGCCATCTTACACTGGATAGATTAGTTTTGGCCTCCACAAAATCACCCGTGGGGCTAGGAACACGAAAAGTTATGTACGGTTCACCTTTGTAGTCAACTCAAGTCAAGAACTCGGTTAATTTGACAGTTACAAGATGATGCTTGGGGACCAAAATGGACCTAGATTCTTCTTCTCCTCCTTCTCCGTCTTATTTCCTTCTTCTTCTTCCTTTCCTTCTTCTACTTCTTCTTCTTCTATTCCTTCTTCTTTTTCTTCTCCTCCTCCTCCTCCTCCTTTTTTCCTTCTTCTTCGTCTTCATTTCCTTCTTCTACTTCTACTTCTTCTCCTCCTCCTCCTCCTCCTCCATATTCTTCTCCTTTGTTTTTCTTCTTTTCTCATTTTTCTTCTTCTTCGTCTTTTTTTCCCTTCTTCTTCTTCTTCTTCTTCTTCTTCTTCTTCTTCTTCTTCTCTTTTTTCCTTCTTCTTTTTCTTCTCTTTCTCCTTATTCTTCTTCTTTTTTTTACCGTCAGAATATTCTACCCTTATGTGGGGTTGAGCTTTTGTGTATCAATGCTTCAGAAAGTTTGATAACATTACGTAGACATATAATCATGAAGAGGCAAATAAGCAGGAAGGTTAGCCTACTGATGATCATAACTGGCGTTTTATGGCTTTAGCGCATATGACATCACGTCTCTCTAAATGCGGTAATTTTAAAGTGCTTTTGAATTATTATCGGGATTATTATTCGGAAACGTTATTACCTCAACTTTAATTCCGGACTTATCAGAACTCAGTGCATTTCAAATAACACCTACCGGGTATTCAAATACTACACCTCAGTCGGAACGGTCAATACAGATGAATTTCTTGTGGAAAATGAACATCAGTCATGCCCATGCTGTGCTGGGGCTCGAACCAGTGACCTTCGCATCCCCTCCGTTATCTACAACCTCAGGTCTATAATAATACAAACTGACAATGTTCAGGCAATCATCTCTTTATCTGAAATATTTATTTGCACTTCGTTTACCACACAATTAATCATACTTGTATATAATACCACAAAATTAATTTGATATCATACAGTGTGTGATGTATTGCTATATTACATTATTCACAAATATATACAGAGCAACAAAACCTTTCCGAATTCATTACCACACAGATACATTCATATAATAAATAAACCACAATCAATTCCTGCACAAGCTTATCAATATAACACATTGTAGAAACAGTTATTCACATAATTTGCACTCTAACGTTACATGGTATAAAAATTACATGACAAGTTATAATATCAATAATGATATTGCTATGGAGTAACGGTACAAAAAATAAATATTTTTCTTTCTTCTAATGATGTTTTCCAAAATTCTCGGTTAATGTTCTTGCTTCGACGTATCTGATTGTAAACAAACGTGTCGCCACCTTTGTTTACAATCAGATAGGGTGGCGACACGTTTGTTTACAATCAGATACGTCGAAGCAAGAACACTCCTTCCGTTCTTCATTAATGAACAAACTATTGGAGAGGTCACAAACTGAAATGCATTAATACACATTTGAATTGCACTGAACCTGTTGAAGCTACTATTACGAATGAATACAGATACAGTTTAGAACCATTTTCATAAAATATCAACTCTGCTGCAAGAGTATACCCTCATTGAGGCCCCAATATCAATATTCAAGAGTGGATATATCTTCTTTTAATTACCATACTCATGTTGAATCAATCTGATATAAACTAATAGATAACCAAATTTCATTATAGTTTTAAAATAATTTTTTTTGGTGACTTTTGGCGCGGATTTACAGCTGTCCCCAATCCCCCCCCCCCCCCAAAAAATATATATATAAATCAAGGACACATCTGTAGAATATACTTTGTTCAGTTGGCCGTCCCGACAAAACCCCCAATCGGTTTTTAATGGCCATCCTTATTCCTATAATACCGTTTTTTAAAATAAATTTGTACTGTATTAAACTGTATATATACATATATATATATATATATATATATATATATATTTGTTTAAAGTCGTATATGCATGTATATATTTTATGTATTTATCAATGTAATTTAAATGTATTTGCTGGAATTGAAATAAAATGTTAAGGAAGGCTGTCAAGATAATCCATCCACCCCACCCCAATGAGGATTCCGCCCCTCCGTTCATACATTTATGGATACGCCACTGGGTTATGGGAGGACAAACTTGGATAAAAAAAATGTGTGAAAACTCCATGCTTGGTTAAAGCAGGGAGATGTCAGTTTTCTCCCTGGTTAAAGCACGAATTTTCTTCACTCGTCAATTGACTCATATTTCTAATTACAATATTTCCCATAAAATGTTAAACGCATACTAAAGTGCTTAAGCTCATTCTTCAGAAATTAAAATGGTGCCCCCCCCCGACACTTATATGCTTCCTTCACTCTCTGCCCAAGTTGCTGCATATACATTTTGTGCAAAGGTCTATAATGCCTCTGAGCGTTTATTAGGATGCAGCTAGTTTACATCTCAAGTGGCATGTCTAGGTATATCAAATCGCCAACTCGAGCTCTTACGTGTTTCTATCAAGAGGTCCTGAAGGTAGAGTGTCGCCTAGATGACTGCTGGTCACATCTAGTGGCGTAGCTACGGGGGGGGGGGCATGGGGCATGGGGCACGTTCCTCGGCCCCACTGAATGGCATATTATCTTATGTAATTTGGAATACAAAATGAAAGAGACTCTTTTCTTGACTTAAAGATGTTACCTGGGTGACTGGTGATTCAGAAATACGTCATTGGCAAGATAAATGATAATCACCGACTTATTGGTGGACGATAAAACTACTACGTTTCAAGAATATCGACAGATAATTAGCAAACAAATATATCATGAAACGAAGTGCCAAATCGACAACATTATGATAATTTGTCTGTTTATTATGATAAGTTGTTACTCCCTTTTATTTTTTAAAGGAGTGGAAATTGTATTTTCATGTAATTTTGTTTTTTCACGCCTGTAAAATCTAATTTCGTTTTAGAGAACATTCTTACAAAGAAACGTCTATATCCTTTACCTCAACTCTTTGAAAAACAATATTTGCAGAAATATGAAATCAATGAGACATCTAATGGTTTCGATTCCAAGAAGCAGTACCTGTTTATGGTTTTAAAACACCAAGGTAAATAACCGCATAAACAGGAACTAACAGGTCATTAACATAGGCATACGGGTGCACTTTTATCAGAGGGGCTAACGTCCCTTACCTGAATACAAACCTTTAATTTCCGAATCTCGTGACCGAATGAAGCAAGGGAGTATTTCGACCCTTTATTGTTTTAACGGTGTAATTCATAATACAAAATTGGTAGGTAATACATTTTTAAAAGGTGATCACCTCGCTGTCCGGCTGCCCGAATATGAGGCGGCCATTGTTTGAAAAAAATCGGGGTGGGGGCTGCAGCCTCCTCAGCCCGTTCCCCCTCTTTCGCCTTCGAGTACTCTAAACCGATAGGAAAAAAATATGCATCAACCATTACATTCGATGTATTACAAGTATTCAATGTTACTATGCATTTATTATTATCAAATCATTTATTACAAAATACAGACATATTCCTTACTCATGAGTAACATGCAAATTCAACAGGATAGATTCATGTTAGTGTTGAAATAGAACAATAAATGATCGAGCTGAAATGGGAAATAATTGAAATAAGTAATTGCCCGAAAACTGACCTTTCAGTTATCTCTAAACGAGGAAGTAAATGTTATCTCTGTCCCAAATGGCCACATTTTCTACTTCTGAATATCGGATGCAACGTGACCCATTGTAATTGATTGCACTCATGCAATGACATTGAAATAACACGCATTCTATTTTATTTATTTTTTTATTTTTCAGAGGGGGCGTCAAATATGATTTAATTTTGTGATTGCCCATATACACGGCCATTACCGGTCACCACGGCACACGCTCTTGTCTACAATATGTTATGCTATGATTAGACCACATTTTATATTAAGCACTGGTTTATCAATAGTTTATCAATATTGCTATAGGAAGTTCAAATGTTTACAAAGTTTACACTTCTTCTGAATTATGAATCATACAACTTCCAAGTAAAGTTATGACGAACTGGTCATTTTATGGGCTTCCAATGACATCATAGATACTTCTTCTAAACAGACGCACTCCCCAATCAGGAGTCGTCGTTATGATGTAATCATAGTTATTTGGTCTATGGCCCAATGTTTACCAACTCCCAGCAGAGGGTTTACTCATTAATTATAAAAGATGTTCACTTCAGGACTCCAGTCATGAGATTCAGAGATATTTATCAGAGATAGATCACAGAACTTTCAGATAGTACAGTCACCAAGGTGGCGTCTCACGAAACCGTCATAAGTACAAGTTCACCGACATCCCATTCAAAAGCGTGCATTTCAACGGGATGTCGTTGAACTTGCACTATTAAAATGACGGTTTCATGAGACGCTGCCCAAATCACCTACGAGACTTCAATTTGTCGCGTTGTAATATTTTTTATCAGAATCTTCATGTTATATTTCATCTGATTAAATGGCATGCTCTATATTATATTGTGATGAACTGGTGTCGCGCTTCTTTATATCTCTCTATACTTATAAAAGTAACCTGTGTCACATAATCCGATCCAAATACACAACAATAAAGTGAATAATTAAAATCCTGTAATTAGCATTATAATAAAAATACATATTACTGATCTCAGTCTACACGTAATGCTATTTGACAACAATAGTATTTATGCCTAGGGGCAGATGTATATTGAAAAATACTTTGGCCTAGATTCTAAAGTACAAAATATTATGAAAATCACCTCTTACAAATACATAATCTTGTTCCATTTACGTGCAAACGACTTTCAGATACCTAACGTAGATGGCGCAATTTTAGGACGTGGTCAGTACATTTTGAGATAGATGAGACATAAACTGATAAAGATAGTAAAAAGAAGGGTTTGTCCAAATTTAGCGAAAAGGTCGAAGACAATAAAGTGAATAATTAAAATCCTGTAATTAGCATTATAATAAAAATACATATTACTAATCTCAGTCTACACGTAATGCTATTTGACAACAATAGTATTTATGCCTAGGGGCAGATGTATATTGAAAATACTTTGGCCTAGATTCTAAAGTACAAAATATTATGAAAATCACCTCTTACAAATACATAATCTCGTTCCATTTACGTGCAAACGACTTTCAGATACATAACGTAGATGGCGCAATTTTAGGACGTGGTCAGTACATTTTGAGATAGATGAGACATAAACTGATAAAGATAGTAAAAAGAAGGGTTTGTCCAAATTTAGAGAAAAGGTCGAAGACAATAAAGTGAATAATTAAAATCCTGTAATTAGCATTATAATAAAAATACATATTACTGATCTCAGTCTACACGTAATGCTATTTGACAACTGTACAATAGTATTTATGCCTAGGGGCAGATGTATATTGAAAAATACTTTGGCCTAGATTCTAAAGTACAAAATATTATGAAAATCACCTCTTACAAATACATAATCTCGTTCCATTTACGTGCAAACGACTTTCAGATACCTAACGTAGATGGCGCATTTTTAGGACGTGGTCAGTACATTTTGAGATAGATGAGACATAAACTGATAAAGATAGTAAAAAGAAGGGTTTGTCCAAATTTAGAGAAAAGGTCGGAGAGAGGTAGGGGATAGAAAGAGAGAGAGAGAGAGAGAGAGAGAGAGGGGGAGAGAGAAAGAAAGAGAAATACAGAGGGAGAGAGTAACGAAGAGAGGGGGTGGGTTAAACATACCGAAAAACACCTAACGTGTGGTAATTACCATCTTTAATGGACTTCATTGATTCAGTTTCTTTTATCAACCAATTGACTACTGAATTATTTTATGTCAATAGGTTCAATATAGTAGCCAACCATGTTCCCGTAGGCAAGGGGTTAAAACAACGCAAACAAAATATACTCCGTTTTCTTGCAGTTTACACTGACCTAACTACAATAATATCACAATTAGGATCCCGTTTTAAAGTCACAGCTAGATACAATTGAGTATTTCAAATAGCGGTCAAACAAATAACTACTGTACTCGAGAAACGCGATATACGTTTTAACAACATTGGACATATCCTCTTAGCTTTTTCCTCAAAAGCCTTCCATATGAGAATGAAGGGAATCCTTTCTCTCTCCATCAAATCAAAACTTTCCTCCATAACTTAAACAAAAACAAAACCATGCTTTAAAAGAAGAATGATCAAATGTGGTCATTAATTTTAGAGATCGATTAGACCATGTCCTTACTTTTGCATACCAAGTCTTCACATTCTGGTATTCTATTCTTACACGGCGTCATTTGTAATGAATCTCGAAAATCCTTTCGAATCGACCGACAAGGAGCTATTTGAATACTGCCCTCTAGTGTGAGGGACAACATCATTGTTCCTCCTCACTTGGCTTAAATCTTCGGTGTGACGAGCAAAGTCTGAACATACGATGACAACAATGTTCCATACACTTGGCAAAGTTTCCGATTCGCAATCGTTTTCCAGACCTCCCCTTCCTTTCTCCTTCAAGATATGGAAACAATTCACGGTGCGTAGCAAAACGAATACACAACATATCCTTTTAATGTGTATACCGATCATGGCACCCGCAGTGTTCACACGTTATTTGATGTCTTTTCATTGTTATTGCCGGCCGAGGTCAATGCCCTCTTCTCGCCATCGTCTCCGTTATCGTGCCGTCTTTTCCCGAGGTCGATCATTTTTATCGTTTCCTCCTTGGCAGGTGGGGGCTTCGGTTTCGTCGTCGTCGTCGTAGCGGGTTTGCAATTTTCAGTAGCGGTATTCGACATCGTCCGCATGGGACGTCCCTTGTATCCACCCTGTTTCCGGTCTGAAACACACACAAAAGACAAATGAGATGGTGATATGCGAGTGTTAACCCCTTGACTCCTCAATTCTCTGATCCCCATAGGCTTAATACAAGGACCACCCGGTTCCAGTAGGCAATGGATTAACAGCTGTTGTGATTCCCAATTGCATATTTCACTATTATTGCATATAGGGTAATGAACTGCAAATTGGTTCCCTCTTTTTGTCTTGATATTAGACTTTTAACATAGGCTACGTTGGACAAAAATAAGAATCCATGTTTGCGTGGAAACTTTAAAAAATGAAATGACAATCTTTATAGTCAAAGTTTAAGTTTGAGGCATATAATAGCGTGCAGAGAACGAAATGTAGGTTTTGGATAGGGAGGTTCAAGGATTCGTCAAGGAGTAACCAAAATACATTTTGCTTAACGAAGGAGATTCGGATACGGCAACCATTGTATTATTACTGGGCAAATGACAATGAGCTTACATTGATTATAATTTCGCTGACTACAATACATGGCACAATTCACATGATTCATGTCGATATCCGCAGTCATTGCTGCATGGTCCAATGCCCGGATTAAGGAGGGTTGGACGTCGAGTGAGTACCACACGCGGCTCCAACACCGACCCTCATTCCAACAATGCCAGCTACACCGCTGATACTACAGTAACTGTCATCATTATCATCTTACCTGAGGAATTGTTCATGACAGTCTTGTATTCTGATGTAACTGTTGTAGAGGGGTTGATGGAGAACCTCTGTATTGCCCGACGGACGGTGATGGCGCTGCCTAGGGTGTAAAGGATCGGATTGACGGCCGAGTTGACCGGCATCACAAACACAGCTACCCAAGCATACACCTGTAAGATACGAAGAGGGCAAACACGCCGTGTTGTACTTTGTTAATCCAAGCAATCTTTCAATTGTTATCCATATAACATCGATTGTACTATGTATTCATGAAAAGCAAGACAGTATGGGGTATTTTACAAGGGCAACAAACGTGTGGTGTGACATACCTAAGCGTTAGACACATTGGCTGGTCGTACCAAGTGTATGTTGGAGTCCATTATTCCAAGTAAAATATTTATTCAATGATTAGTCAAAGTTTGTTGACTAAAATTGGGGGTGAATAATTGAATAGAAATTCAGACATGAACAATCAAGGAACAATCAATTAATTATCGATGAGAATACCCTTTCTTTTCTCTGTAAATAACTTTCTAAAACTTTTCTCTAACATTGCACAGTATACACCCTTAATATGTAACGCCAAAGATTTAACCTTCATTAACTTAATTACCGAGGAACCGTTAAAAATACACCAGTCTCAACTAAGCAGAATTTTATATATATTCACTTACAGAGGTCGGTACATACGCTCCAGACAGTGAGGCCAAACCTAAGAGAATAATGGGAACCCAACAGCAGAAGTCCGTGAAGACAATCACCGACATCCTCCTGGCCATCGAATCGCTTCCTTTCGACTTCAGCGACCTCATCGCTGCCTTCTGGGTTTTCCTTGCGACGTTGAACATGACTCCATACGACACCATAATCGTTATGAAAGATACGAAGTTTAACCCCAGGAATATAAACACGGAGTACTCCCATCCACTGGGTTTATCCGGCGTTATGTGCAGGGCTAAACACACACCCGACCGTCCGTAGAAATTGCCAAAGTACGCCACTCCGCACAGAGGCAGCGCGGCCAGAAACGCGACAAGTCCCCATGACACGCACATGACCCAGACAGCGCGCGTGAACTCCATGTCTTTGATCCGGAAGGGAAAGACGATCGAAGAAAGCCGATGGAGGGTGATGATGGTGAGACTGAACACGGAGAGCTCGCTGGAGAATGTGGAGAGAAAGCCGGCAAACTTGCAGAGACCACTGTTACGCCATGTTTTGTCGTGAACGATGTAATCACCGCGGTAATAGGCGTCGACGCCGGCGATGATGAGGAGGTAGATGCCCATTAACATGTCACCCACGGCTAGGTTGGTTATGAGGAACGAATGAACCTGTGTGCGGAAACACAAGAGAGGGGTATGATTATTTTCATCAGTTAGAAAAAACTTTGCCATGCTTCGTCATTTAGGCGTAAACACCTTATCGGCACACCTTATCGACATTATCATATCGGCACACCTCATTGGCACATCTTATCGGTACACCTTATCAACTAAACCTTATCAGCATAGAACATAGACGCAACTTATGACCATACCTTATCTTCACATCATATCAGCAAACCTCATCGAAACACGTTACCGCCATCCCTTATCAACACACCTCATTGGCACATCTTATCGGTACACCTTATCAACTAAACCTTATCAGCATAGAACATAGACGCAACTTATGACCATACCTTATCTTCACATCATATCATCAAACCTCATCGAAACAGGTTACCGCCATCCCTTATCAACACACCTCATCGACATTTATACCTTAATGCCTCGACACATATCATCGGCACATCTCATCGGCACACCTCATCTGCAAACATTACCGGCACACCTTATTGGCAGAACCTGTCGGTGGGAGATACTAGGAAGCTTTACTGATATGCCAAAGAAGTCCAATCGGGAAATGTCATTGTTTGTTTGTCAATACAGGCCTTTTCCCTTACCTTATTGTCTCGTTTGCTATTGACCCTCCACATGATGACGACCAAGTTTCCAATCAAAGCGATCATGCCGATAATCCAGATGCACATGCGCAGTATGGGATTTGACATGAGATCCTCGCAAGATGAAAACTCGTCCGGTAGAGGAAGACATTTAGACACGTGACGGGCCATGCAGCAGAAGCGATATTCGTCTGTAATTCTATAAAATATTCAGGCAAAAAGATATTGAAATATATCGTGTAAACTGATTTATTTTTTTAAACGAGTCCACATAAAAATAAACAACAGAAGGAGTCGCTGGACATAAGATTGTCTTGCCATTTTGAGTCGGCAGTATGATGATAGTGATGCAAATATTGATACTAATAATAAATATAAAGACTACAGAATAATTATATCTTTGTAGCAAATAGCCCAAGAAATGATTTGTAAGCATTTATTATTCTAATTGTACAAGGCAGTAATCAATAAAAATTTACTCACAGCTCTTCCAAAAGACGCAGGTTGAAAGTTCGTCTGCTCACGACCTCAATCGCATTTTCTGATATGTCTCTGAAATATGGATGATTAAAAATGATTCAACAAAAGAAAAAACTTTTATTTTGCCATCTCCCTCAACGAAAATCTTCATACATTACAACGGCAAATTAACAATGAGGTAATAAACACGTAATTGGAACGCTTATACAATTAGTTGCATTAAGGTTTTAAAAGCATCATGTCAAATTGAACGGTAATGCCGGTTCCTTCGCTAGAACCTCTTAATTTAATTGATGACGATGATGTTGCAGGTTGATAAGCACTGACCAAATTATAACAAAGAATGCCATGAAATTTGAAGGAGTATTGAAGGTTGCACAAATGTCAATTCTTTTTTAACTCAAGGGACATACGAACAAAGAGAAACCACGACATTCTCAGCATGTTGTATCTAAACATCTTAAAGGGTATTAGACAGTTTTACTCACAGTTTCTTGAGTTGATAAAGACCATAGAAAGCGCCATCTGGTACCATAACGATGTGATTGGCTGAAAGGTCTCTGCACGTGACATGGACAAAGAATACCATTAAGATTCTAATCGACGCTAAACAAATTTTATTAAAGGTTTTATAAATCTCGTTAACGTCTCAAAACGTTTACTTCTGTACGTTATATCAAGAAGAATACTCTTTGATGCTATTCATTAGGTCAAATGCGCTTGGCTAAAAGATGTTACATTCAATAGATTATCAGGAGGATAGATATATATATACTAATCACCTAATTTCACTTCTTACTGTATACTAACATTGTAAGCTCGCTCATGTGAATTAAAACCAACTACGACAACATCCCATTGATATCTTAAGTATTACAGAGTGGCGAGTACTGTGAAGTGAGCATTCATATAATTACAGTCGCCAGCTTTCAACATTTGTATTTTCTTGTTCCTTCCAAAAACGTTAAAACTATTTTTTTTAAATTAACAAAAAAGTAATTGATTGTCTAACTAATTAAAGTTCTCACAATCGTTATTACCACTCTGCATCGGGTACTAAGAAATTAATATGAGTTTTCGTTTCCACTTCTACCACATTACCAATATATCAAGCATTGGAACAGAAGGGCTAATCATGGATACAAAAATACATTCGGTTTGTCTTTTCCAACTGAAGATTACATCTTTTTATTCTATCACTTAAAGTACTAATTGTAGTAAAACATAATCTATACTCACAAGAAGTGAAGCCGGTATAGTCCAACGAACGCAGCATTTGGGATCTCCGTCAAATTCTGGTTACTTAGGTCTCTGAAGAAATATAATAGGTATCGAAAGAGTTTGATAATCAAATGTGATAATTATCTACTTGCTTAAAGTTATGAACAAGACGGGCTGTGCATGTGCGTGTAAAATTGTTTTCGTGGCATCAGTGAGTAGTCTGTGCATATGAGGAAAGAATATTGGAGGATTAAAAAATATAGCGCTCAACCAAAGACCCTTAGTTAGTTGCTAAGTTTACAAAGGCAGTGGTGATTTTTATTGAAAATATGGAATATACTTCTGTTAAATCTACAGCAATACTTTTGGAGAATTTTGTATATTTTACTATAAATGATTGGTATGCGTCTATAGCACTGGAAACAAGTATATCTAAAGAGGTCATACTTAATAATCTAATAATATTCGGTTCTTGTATAGTATTTATGCGCTTCCAAAGAGCTTTGGAAATTATTACCAAATAGTTTTAGCTCCGGCAGTCATAGATATCTGGACCTCTAGGAAGAACAGAGCCATTTTAATAATGGCTCTGAAGTTTCCAGCCGTTTTTTAATTCTTGATTTGTATTATTTGTAAATTGTATTCTTGTATGTATTGAATTTTTATACGGAAAATAAAACCAAACCAAACCAAACCAAACCAAGCGCACAGTGCATTTCAAGGAATAATCCTACCAGGTACCCATTTACATCACCTGGGTCGAGTGTGGAAAATTTGCTACTTACAGCGTTGTGATATTCCTTAGCCCTTCGAAAGCATGAGGCTCTATTGCGTGGATGTTATTTCCTCCAAGTCGTCTGTCCAGATTAAAAAAATAAAGAAGCAATGATGAAAAACGAGGATAGATCATCAAAAATCTTTGACATTATAGTGTTTGAGTGTTAGAAGAGAATTAGATAAAGTTGAGTTCTGGTCATGCGAATGCATTGTGAAAGAAACGGTGTGGAATCGATCAGAAATAGTTGCTCTTGTAGCAAATAAGTATTATTGTACTGCAAGGTTCTATAATCATCAAAATGATAAGAAATTTGACCCAGTCAAGTAAAGTAACCAGCACTGTACACAGAAACATGTGACACATTTAGAATATGGAGGTATTTGAAGAGCCATGGTTTTCAGGGAACTTTCTTTTCTCCTGATGTTCTTCCACACTTGCATAATAACAATGATAACGCTCACTAATAATTTGTCACCTCTCCTCAGAACTCAATCTTCTCGTTAAGAAAAGGAGCACGAATTAACAATACGACGTTATTATCAAATTTTGTAAAACGTTATCGGATATAGAGAACCATTTACATGTATAAGATACAAAATGCAAAGCGTTTTACAGAACCGCCGCGGTTTTCCTTCATCGTATCTGAACAAGGCGTGTCTGTTTACGCTCTTGCACTGTTTATTCTCCCGTTTATTTCCTCCCTTCAAACCTCTTCATTTTCCTAATCTTCTTCTTTCTTTGGTTCAAATTTTACTCATCTGTATACTTCAAATTCTTCCCTATTTTCAGTCTAATGTTGTTTGATACTTTTGCTACCCTTTTTGGTGTTTTTCATATCAATCTCGGAATAAAAAAATAGTTCGTAGACTTAGTTATTGGACTACAAAATCAAATCAAAATCAAAATCAAAATCAAAACTAATCGAAGAGTCCGGAGATTAAGATTTTCATATATTGAAATAGGATCATATACTCACAGGGTCTGAAGGCCTTCCAAACCGTTGAAAGTCTGTTTACGAATCACTCTGAGGTTATTGTTCTCTAAATTCCTGTCGTAAAACACAAAACAAAATGTACGTAACTACATATCGCTAATAACTCAGAAGAAAAGAAACACCTCAGACAAGACAATGTCCTGTTTTATGTTCAATTATGTAAAATGTACATTATGTTTCAAACTTGATGGGCCTATGCAGTTGGTCGTCGACTGCACTAATAAACGACTCGATTTACAAACTCTTCACCTTACTGCAAATGTCTTCTTTTTGTTTGATGAGAAGAAAATCATAAAATAGAAAAATAGTCATAATAACAACCACAGTTTGAAATCGATTGACTCAGTGACATATTTTAATGTTCATCGAAAATGTATATCGAACTTCATATTAAACATATTTTGCTAATCATTCAGGATGAAGTATATTTTCAAAGATGGTGCACGGTGGACAAACAATATTGCAAGGATATATTTATTCACACGAGAATATTTATATCGACCAAGGCACAACCATAAAGCACTAGTAAACAAAAATCATAAAAGAAACTGGAAGGGAAAAAAAGATAAATAGAAGAGGAGAGAAGGGTGAAACTAAAAAAAAAAGAATGAAAGGAACTTGTAAAGGAATATTTATTACTTACAAATATCTGAGGTTGGCTAAACCCTTGAAGGTATCATTTCCGATGTCATTTAAGCTATTGTTTGACAAGTCTCTGCAAGAAAGAATGGAATCAAATTCTAAAAAATAGAAGTGAGATATTAAGATGCTCATGGCTAATCAAGCAGGCATATGACTTACACTTCAGAACCACTAACCGTGGAAATATGAAGTGCAATAAAGGATGTATGAGGTTTGAATGTCACCCCTTGGCATAACGAAGCAGACAATGATCTCCAACAGAGAATATGCATTCATGTAGAAACTACTAGAGAAAAAAACACAGGCATCAAATGTTTTTTCTTTTTAACGTATTGAATATTTCCTGCACATTTCCTGCACGCCAACGAAAAACAACAAGTAATGAAAATTCGGGATCAGTGGAAGGTCTTAATTGGAAAGCTATTATGTCAACGAATAGTACTATCAGTAAATGTTAAAAGCCAAATAAAAAATACTCACAATCGAAGCAAACCGGGAAGCCCAGAAAGGACCTCGTTTGAGATTTGAATCCTGTTCCCACTCAGATTTCTGTAAAGATCAGGAAACAGATTATATTGTTATCATTAGTATTTGACGTCATCTGTACATTGAAGGCGAAAATCGAACTGAATCACTGCAACCCTCGCATCTCTCCTCCTGGTATATCTGACTGGGTGAGTGCAGATGGACCACTACACCGATGTTTCCTCTACACTTATACGAATAAAGTAATGGGATCTTCACGTGCAAAGGTGGTGTCTCTCCTCTACACAGGGCCTGTCTTCAAACGGCCTATCCGAGGGACGGAGTGTTTCCCACTGTACTGTCTGCGTCTATGAAACGGGGGAGGTGCCTGTTAACACACAGGGCAGGCTTCAGTCAACTACCTGGGTTGGATTCGAACCCACGAATCAACCGTCGGACGCTTTATCAACTAAGCCAACTCACCTCCAATGTGAGTTGGTTTCGCGGTAAAGTTTACTCGGTCAGCTCTTTGTTTTCGATTATCAAACCGACACTGACGAACCCAGGTTCATGTCTTCGGATGGTGACGTTAGAGGTCGGTCCCATACATAAATAATCATAACTTTTTTATATCCGTCTGTAAAAACCTAATTATACATACACACAGAAAATGTGTATTGCGATAAATTACTGGCACTTGGTGCCCTTTGCAATCTAGGACACAAGCACAAATTTTGGACACATTTTCCAGGACAAAAAAGATATATTGTCGATGACCATGACTAACTCAAATACACAAGCAACCGGTAATTTTCCGGAGTACAAACTCAACTAAATCAAATCAATTTTATTAAAAATAAAAATCTAGTTCTTCATGTCCTTTTTGTTGGTCGTTTGGAGACGAAAAAAAAATCAAGATTTATTCTATGAACACTTACATTTCCGAGATCTGTTCTTCGACGTAGAAATTATGGAAGGATTCAAGTCCAGCGTTGATGCAGCTCATCTGTGTATGGTTGCATATACACATAAGTGCAGGTCCGCACTCGTGAGCTAAAAGGTGGAAATACAATAAAGGATCTGAATACTCATATCACTTTTGATTATAAAATATCATGATGGCTAGGAGGTAACTGTCTTAAAGACCGTCAACACTACTGGGCCAGAAGGGATTAGACCACACAGCGAGGTCACCGACAGGTGGCTATCTTATTATCTCAGTTCTCAACTAACATAAGAAAAAGAGATCATGGGGGACCAACAGGCACCGATCGGGGAAGTTTTCTATATCGAGGGAGCAAGTAGCTACAAGTAGGACAATGGGGCTTTAAGATTTGTTCAGATATGGCGCGCTACACTGCCGCAAAAAAAAAGCCACCGCGGTTGTGTTAACGCGTAGAACGGCTAGCAACTGCGCGCAACAAAGGACTTGCGCATAATTTTTTAAGTTCGGTGTCGGCGTTGGTGGTGTTGAGGAGCGCGGAAAGACTGCTGAACCGAGCTTCAACACCGATGGTCAGTTTAGAATCACGATACCGATCAAGTTATTGTTAGCTAAACACCGAGTGATGTCACACTTTCACGCGAAAAGTCTCGACGATGAAAGTGAAATCTGTGACAAATAGCATTCAAATTTCATCATACAGACTCTAAAATCTAAAAGCATATTGTAAAAAAAATAGAGAAAATACAATTTCTCATAAATAAATAAACAGCTCCTATGATTTACAGTAATTTTGTCCGTACAATTGGTTTTAACGTGGCGTGATCGTGAGATTCATGACAGATTCCCGCATTGTTAGCTGCGGTATGCGTCAACACAAACACTAACACCGAACTTGAAATGATAAATTTACCAATCCTAAGGGCCATGGGCGTAGATCTGTAATTGATACCTATTGTTCAGGGGGGGGGGGTGATCTATTCATTCACTTCCCTGAACAATAGGTATTACGTAAGGATTGACGCCCATGCTAAGGGCTTGTGTTCAACAGACGATATTCAACACCAGCCCTCAACACAGACTACCGGAAACGCATCATATTTTCCGAGGTCAACCTCAACACCAGCATGATTTCAAGAACAGTGTTGTGGCTGGTATTGGTGTTTTCACGACACCAACACCAGCTTTCGACACCGAACTTGAAATCATCTAATGAGCTCGGTAAGATAGAGGAATATGACGCGTATTACACTTTACGTCATCACAAAATTATAACAAAACTCGGTTTTACCACCTCATATCTGAACGAGCCATTAGGCTTAGTATTATAGGCTTAAGGTTAGGTTTAGGGTTTGGTCTCCAAATGCATATGTACGAGACATGTATCTCAGACGCAAATAACAATGCCAGTATACCATGCAAAGATCATACATTGAGTATCATACTGTCTGCTTATCAAAAACAAAATTGGAAGTTAAGAAAGTACTTACGACAGAAATCTTCATCTGTCCAGTAGGGTAGACAGTCAACAGCTCCGTTGCATACGTCACTCATATTGACACAATGAGCATTACGGCATTTGAATTCGTTCTCGCGACAAGTCCGGTTTGCTGAACAAAACAGTAACAAAACAGATATCAATTAGTATGACAGATACGATCAATAATGCCACATCGTGTGTACGATCCTGTAATTTTATAATGAATTTCATAAATTCACTATAAAATTATCTAACACAAGTCATGTGCAATTTTTCAAATATATTACAGTCATGCAATCTAAAAATAATATGAAAATATTCTATCTGCAATAATGCAACGATAATCATTTCATGCTATTTTAATTGGTAGATCAACATTGAATGAAATAAGTTTCTTTATAAATTTGGGAAGTATTAATACCAGTATTTTAATATTAATAGAAGAGGTCGTCGTCGTAGTAGTAGCAATAGTAGGGGCTTTTAGATTTGCACGAGGGGGAGAACGTGGACTGCCCTTTTAGGGCAATGTGACGTCCTTTTAAGGCACTGGCAGTGACGTCACATTGCCTTAAAATGGCAGTCCACGTTCTCCGTCGTGCAAATCTAAAAGTCCCTGGTAACAGTTGTTATCGTCGTCGTCGTCGTCGTAGTAGTAGTAGTAGTAGTATTAGTAATATAAGTAGTATCAGCACCCGGCCCCCCCCCCCCCACTCAGTGTTATTTAGGGTACGCATATGCTCGTACCCTCTTTTTGAAAGCACCCCCTATCTGAGGACTGCCAACATTTCCAAACCCCCCTTTCGCGGGCTTTTCGCGGGCTTTTCCTGCCTTGGAGACCCCCCTAAATCAGGAAAAATGCTCAATGTACCCCCCTTAATTCGGAATATTTTCTCAGGAGTCCAAAGAGATGAGAGAAAAAAAGAAAAACACCCCCTTTTTAAAGAAATCTCAGGGTGGAAAGTCAAATACACCCCTTTTTTTACAATTCTCGGGCCGGACTTTGTCGCACGAAAAATACCCCTTTACCGGACATTTTGGCAACACGCATGCGGTCATTCCGACCTCTGAGTGGGGGGGGGCCGGGTATCAGCAGCAGCAGTAGTCGCCGGCTAGATTGTTGAAAGCTGTCAAAGTTGGCCTTGATAACCGAAAATTATACTGCAGTTATAACATAACGTTGATACTCATGCTATCATCTTAGGACTTTAATATCGACTACATAACTGAGCAATAATAATCAGCATGGCTTACCACAATCATTAAGATGTGAGCGATCCTTGCATCCTTTCTTCATCGTAGAATCAAAGAAACACACTTCATCTTGAGGTATACACTGACCGCTGTGACATCTGAACTCACCCTCCCTGCATCCAAAGATCTTATAGTCTGGACAAGTTACAAGAGGAACGACATCGGAGTTTATATATGGGACTACTAAATACTTTGTAAATGGTGTGCTAGAGAAGAAGTTCCTAGTCACATACGGAACAAGAAAATCACATAGACAAACATAAAGTGACTTGTATGTCACCGAATTGAAATTGCTCGTGGAAATAGGCAACACCACTTTGTATTTTTTAAAACTTCTGTCAGTGCGTGTGTCAGCAAACAGACAGAGGAAGGAAGAACATTCAAAGAAAGACAGAGCATTATGGTAAACTGTTTGCTTGAAATCTACCACTACCATTTCTCCAACAATTTGGAATGAAATTCAATCGCAAGGGGGAAGACTTCCAAAATATGGATGAGTCATTGACCGTTTTATTGGGCATAGCTTCTGGTATAAACTGATTCTTAGTCATTACCCTATAGAGCATAATGCCACATTATCTCCATTAACTGCAGTAAACATGGTAAAATAATTCAGCCGATAACTTGAATACTTTTTTAATAGAAGAGGTGAATAATGTCAAACCAATGCTCTCACAGGTCCTTCATAAAAAGCTGCGGTTAAAACAGTAATAGACCATAAATGTGGTTTCAATTAATATCAGCAAGTTAGCAATTCCAGAAGAAAAATATGGGTGCCTTGGTCTTACCGCATTCGTCTTCATCAGACGAATCCACAGTTCCATTGACGTAAAAACAATCTGGTGTGTAATCACACTTCTGTTTCTCAGGGATGCACTGTCCACTGTGACACTTCCAGGTTCCCGGTAGACACTCGAAAGACTCTACATGGGAGAACCAATATCAATAAAGAAAATCAGAATAATTTGAATAATTATGGTGATGAAAAGTCCGAAGTATCGACAAGCTCAATAAGATATTAAAGCACCTGAATAAAAACGATAGGAAATAGACCCCAGCTGCTTCGCTTCATTCACGAACAAAATGTGAGTCATTATATTTTGGGGTAAATATTCAACATCAACACTTTTGCAGGGACTTAGATGACCTACGCCATTGTTGAAGCAATAGCCGAGTAAACCATGTTAATATTAGGAATGCTATGACGTTATGATTGTTTCTTTTTTTATACAGTGGTTGCATAATAATTACGTAAAGTGTCTAGAGACTGAAGTGGAATCAATTCCTAAATATGGGCAAGTGAAAACGTCATGAAGGTCGAAACTACTCTCCTTTGTTATTGAGTATGTAAATATCTTCATTTCATTTCCGAGCCCCGCAAACCCTCTCTCTTTCCAAAGGGATACTCCCTTTTCGCATGTTTATCTCTTCCCCTTCTTTTTTATGTTGCTTTTACTTATTTGCAGACAGTGTTCCTGAATTTTGATATGGGGGTGGTGGTGGTGGTGGCGGTAGTGGTGGTGCAAGAGGGGGTTCATTACAAATTAGGATGAGTTGGTCACAACTTACCACAGTTGGCTTCGTCGGAGAAATCAAAACAATCCAGTTGTGCGTCGCATCGGCTTGTTAGGTCGATGCACCTCCCATACGGGCACTCGTATTCTACCTCGGGATCACAAGGGCGAGTCGCATCTGAAAAAGCGGAGCAAAAAGAGCCGGAGAGGGATAAATTATTTATTTGAAAAAGATGTGTCCTGCCGCATTCAGTTCAGTAGCAGAGCCACTAAAAGTATTAAACAGGTGCAACGATTATGATATTAGAGAAGTTTGCAATAGGCCAAATGGAAGCTGACTATTTTGCCTATTTTGCCATTGAAACGTTAATGATACTCAAAACACAATCGCAAAAAAAATTCAAGATGTTAACACAATTTTATTGTATTATCCTACAGAATATTGCTCGAATTACTAAAAATTTCATTGTAATGTTGGTACACATGTACGTGTTGATATTTAATTGAAAACGCTATTGCAATTGCCTTCGGTAATTTTTCAAAATTATTTGCTTTAAATGCATTTCTAACGAGGGATATTCGAAGTCAGTTCGTGTAATTCTATATCTATCCTCGTGAGAAAGATGATGCATAGGTGTCCATTTCCTTTCGATAATTGAATCTTATTGAAGTATTTATTTGAAAAAGTGTCTATCAAAATAGCTTCTAGTTCCAAGATTTGTAAATCTTTTGCATTTTTTTCTTCAAATCTGTTATCAGTCGGACCAAAGGAAGGAAGCTTGGGGTGTATGCATTCTACCTTAATATTTATAAAACCCAAGAGTTTTGGCTTTTCGTTTGTCTATTTGTATGTATGTTTGTTTATATGTTTGTTTTTCTTTGCAATTAGCAACATAGACAAATTATGTAGGGTGCTTACTGCAAGTCTCTTCATCGAAGCCATACATGCAGTGTGGTCGTCGGTATCTGTCACACTGTACTTTCAGCGCAGGCAAACATCGAGGATCGTCGGCGCCATCTTTGATATCACACATCATGTAAGGAGGATTACCTTCCGAGTCACAGTGGCCCGTTGTGTTGCCTGGCAATTCTGAATAAGATGGAAAAGAGGGTTAAAATATGCAAGGTTTACAGAATGGCCGAACACATCAACAACAACAAAATTAGGAAAACTAGCCAATGTCATTTTTCACTGGTTAATAAAATCCCCATACTAAGAGATAGCTGTCCGGGGAAAGTTGTTCAAAAGTTAGCTGTTCTAAGATAGGAGTAAATGCTGATGTCCTAAAGGTTAATGTGTATGAGCGATATAGTCATATACAGAATGTAACATACGCTAACATACGGTAACATATAATTATGATCTCCCAACAGAAAAGGTGTGTAGCTATTGCATCGGGGAGGCATCGAACTTTGGGACATTCAAGATACATTCAAGATACATTCAAGTACTTTCATCAAATTGACTGAGCAGTTTATCATGGTTACTCAATATTGCATTCAAAAACGAAATGAAATAAAATCCCCATATTTCTTCCCTGAATACGTTCGTTTCGTTTCTCTTGGTTATAGGCAAAGGCAGCACAACCCATTGCAATCAGAAGTTGATAACATCGCCATTCCAAACCGACCAAATTTTGGCCTGAAGAGGTAATGTAATTGTTTGATCGGTCTGCTGTTGGTATGCTGTTGGTCTTGTTGGTGCAGACTGAGGTATTAGGGATGTTTAGATTTGCACGTCGACATAGTGGACTGCTACGTGTGACGTCATTTTAAGGCACTTAAGGCACTGGCGCAGTGCCTTAAAATGACGTCACACGTAGCCGTTCACTATGTCGACGTGCAAATCTAAAAGTCCCTATTCCTGAAGAATAAAGGTGAACTTACGACAGTTGAACTCATCGGCTTTGTTGGGACAGTCACCAAATCCATCGCAGATGTATTCTTTCCTGACGCACCTCGATGGTTTGTTGTTTGCTATCTGACAGAGGATGCCATTCGTCTCATAATTACACATGTCTTCATCCGCTGCAAAATTGAAAGAGTAAATAAGCAGGAAAAAAATCAAGCAAGAGAAAATTAGTGCATTTAGCAGAAGCAGATCAAGGATTTTCGGGAAAGGGTTTGCTAAGAAACCGTAAAAAATCTTAGGACAGCGTAACCGACATTCATGAAGTGACTTATGGGAATAATCTTGCAATGATGGCAGATGTATTACCTCCACCCAATATAAACGACATGGGAACAGTAACGAAGGGGTGCCTATGGCCAGGGATTTTTTCTTTTGGCGGGGGGCGTGGGCGGGGCAGCACCCTCCTATCTAAAGATGTGTAATTTCTAATTAAAACGCAACATTAAAGTTCCCTCATTTTTTAAAAAGATATTGATAACATTCTTACTACACTAGATGCCACTTACCGCACTCTTTTTCGTCATCGCAAGACAAACAATCACAGACACCGTTGCACCGCACCGAGGGTCGCAAGCACTTGCCATTAGGGCACCTGTATTCATCCGCGGTACAAACACAGTTGGTTTCATCTGCTTCATTATCAGGACAGTCCACAAGGCGGTCACACCATTCGTGTTCGTAGACCTTTTTACCATTCTCACAGAGAACGAAATGTTCTGAGGATTTAAGAAAGATTTTTAAAAAATACAGTTTAAAGTGGTAGTTGTATTATAGATCATTCAGTGAATGCGAGAAAATTGTATGGCATATTTCTAAACAAAAGGGGCCATATACGACCCCCAAACTTCCCATTTTTAACCCTAATATGCAAAGTGGAATAGTCTGTAGGGATATTATCATTCATTGCATATGTATAATAATTCATCTTTTAGTAGTCCAGAGATTTACAGATTACGATCACGATTTTGAAGGTTAACACACAAAAGACATCTTAATATTTGTTTTAAAAGAAATTTATGTCAAGTGTATCAAGTCTAGTTGCGCACACAGTTTCTAAGCAGCGGCAAACTGAGCAGCGTGACTTAAAGGTCACGTGTGTTCACTGATGCGGAACTTGTATCTTTAGCGGAGGACTTCCGTTGTCCTCCTTAAACGTCCGTTTTTACCGAGTGTTCACCTTACCTTCACCACAGCGTGCCTCGTCGCTCCCATCAATGCAATCCTGACTCCCATCACACACAAACCACGTGTTGATACACTGCTTGTTAGAGCACTGGAATTCACCTTTCCAGCAATCCGGATGATCTATAAAGGTGAACAAAGTAATTATGTTATTGAGTCTGAAACAGATATCGGTGACTAAGTGATCAGCCCTGTGCTCCAGCAACTGTAGCTCCAGGCTCGATGTCGTCAAACATCTAGGATTAACGCGTAGGTTTCGACTGAGATAAGGTTTGGGTTTAGGGTAAGGGTTAGGTATAGTGCTGGTTCCAATGCTGAAGTTAGGAAATCGGTTAGTGTAAAGGAAATTGATCGAGGAAACAATTGTCGCATGAGAATGGGTCGCACAACAAGGTGACTTTGAATTTAGTCTCTCAGTACTAGCTTTGATTTAGAACGGGATCAGAATCAAACGCAATACTCTTTAGCATATTTGAGCCAGCCTTGATCAACTTAATCCATTCATGACTTCATGTTATAAAGTAAATTGGATGTGGACAGACATTTTAATCACCATAAGTATTATTGTGTGCATTATTGCTTATTCAAAGAACTTTTATCTTGAAAGGGGCACTGTATTTCTCATATACGGACAATCTCTGTACGAATTCGTCATAATTAATAATCTTCATTTTGGCTACTTACAGCATAAATCTTCATCCGAATTATCTCCACAGTCATCCACGAAATTACACCAGAGGTGTTTAGCTATGCAGTAATGATTCTTGGTGCACTTCTCGTATCCTTCTAAACATGGGAACGCCTCTGCAGACAGAAATTAGATATACAAAACGATAATTATTTACGTCTACTTTATATACATCAAAGTATATATAAAATCTATATGACTTAATATTTTGTAACGAATATCACGTTACAAAACCTCTCAAATATAAATGGTACTTTCAAGCTCAAGTTCAAGTTCAGTTTATTTCACATCCAATAAAAAACTTACATCAATTAACATTCAAATACAATGATATAAAATGCAATATATGTAAAATATGATAAGAACAATTACAAGAACAACAGTAACACTACAAATAATTAATGGGTGGAGTAGGGATGTGGGGGACCAGAAAAGGCCATTGGCATATCTAGGCTGGTCCCCTTTTTTCTACAACCCCAAAAGTAAAATCTTCAGTAATTAAAAGCAAAATATTGACAATATAGACATTACATTAACTGAGACATACATACACATAAAGATAGGACAGGCAGAATTAATAAAAGTTAAACAAGTATATTGTAACTTGATACTTGTTTGTGTTTAAAATTACGCTTAAAACTAGACAATGTTGGACATGCTTTGAGAGAATTGGGTAAGTTGTTCCAAATAATGGATCCTTTATATTTTATTACTGTTTTTGACAAATTATAGCGAAATGAAGGAACATAAAGTGTGTTTGAATTTCTAGTACCATATTGATTTATATCTCCATTAAAAATAAAATAATTATTAAAACAATCAGGTAAAGTAGTTATATAGTACATGTAAGGAAACATAAAAGCTCCAATACTTTTATCATATAAATCAATTTTTTTTTAAAAGTTTAACTTAAAAAATAATGTACCTGTATGTGCTCTATAATATGACTTTCTTATAACCCTTACGGCTCTTTAAAAAAAAGCTTTTGAAGCAAATACGAAGCGCAATTGCCCCATACAATAATACAATAATTAAAATAAGGCAAAATCATAGTGCTTTACAAATTTACAAGTATGCGCAATGGAAAAATATCTTTGAGTCTATTCAAAACGCCAATGACCTTTGAAAGCTTTAATTAACATAATTAACATTGCAATAAGAGTGCTCGCATTTTCCAGTTTATTATTTTTATTTCCTTTAAGATACAAGTATCCACAAGAAAAAAATTAAATATTGGATTGTATTGTAGTCTGCAATCGATTTGGTATAAGAAATGGGAAGAGCAGGTGCGAGAGAAAGAGAGTGAGATGGAAAGAAAGAGCGGAAGAGACAGGCAATTGGTGACAACTATATATATGATTATATATGGAAAAACTAAATTGCCCACTCAACAAAAAAAAAGAAGGAGAGAAAAGACCCCTGCCCCAAGGAAAAGAAAAGATAAACTCACCGCATCCGTCCATATCAGCGCAGTCTACTTCACAATCACAGTTCGTGTCACATCGTAGTTCTATTGGTATACAAGAATGACTGCATGGGAACTCATCCTTGGCACATCCTGTACAATAAAATTACAAAATAGAGGATCTGTCTCAAAATACGAAAATCACGATGTTTGTAAAGACTTTAAAAATATGGATCTAAAACAAGTCTAATTAATATAGTCATGTGCGTCATCTTTTGAAATGCTCTCTACAGGGAATACAACAGGGCATTGAAATTGCCTGTCAGTTGATTCTAAAAAATAGTGCAATCAGTTCAAGTTACAATGTGTAGGAAAATAAAGGAATTGTCATAAATGGAAGGGGGTCACATTTGTAATGAAAGAGAAAAGGGGAGGTAATCTGGGTTAATAGGGAAATTGTTTGCGTGAAGCATGATTGTCAAGTCTTATTGCCTCAATCTAAATAATCAATGAGATGCAAAGAGGTTCGCAACATAGTATAACAGTGTGTAGCGTGTGTGCAGCGCTTTGTAACTGCAAGGAAAAGGCGCTATATCAAATATCTTTTGGATTGGATAGTATAACGTTATTGACAAAGTGTGACAAGAATTAGAAGTTCTGTGAGGGACAAAGCGTGCTATTACGTTCATTATAAAATGATTGACACAAATCCTGGTAAATATCAAATTTCAGCTCTTGATATAACCATCGAAGTTATTATGACTTTCAAATAGCCCTTGTGAATATCAAATGGGTCTTCATTTCCTTCTAAGAGCAGGTTACCATGGTAACTTCACATACAATTTATTTGACCAGAAGACCTTCCGAGTTCAATATTAGCAGGCATAAAGGAGCATGTCTACTTGAATAGTTCTGATCCTTACTCCTGTTATTTGTATTCATAGTCGGTGTTGTATGGCATTTTGACTTATCGTCGAAGGCTTTTTCATTGCAAGCATACAAAATTGATCATATTTGTGTGATTATTTTTTCCAGCAACGTTAGACTGAGTGTGATATTGATTTTTTTTTTTAATGCGAAGTGCAACCCGAATCCGATAATATTCATGTTTCTTCGATGATTATGAAGTTAACTGTGTCATACGCTTTTCACTTTTCATCTCCTACGGATTGAAATACTTGTTTTACAAGACTGAGATATTGTTCAACTCAAGATGATGCCTGCAGCGACTAATTTTACTCAAAACAACACGCAAGGTGACTGTCCTTCGCGGGAATCCGGATACAACTATTTGGATATCCTGGGCATTCTCGAGATCGTGGTTTCGATGCCCCTCAACGGATTCATCCTCCTCTTCATCGTCGGTTCACCGAGACTGCGGAAACAGCATAACGTCTTTACCTTCAACATGGCGCTCATAGACTTCGTGACAGCTCCGAATGCGATTCTTATCATTGTCCTTGGGCAATCGAGTATTGTAAGTTGAAAGTGTGCAACTGAAAATTAGCTTGAGGAGATGCAATGACTCAGTGGGAAAGCATTGGTCTCGAAACCAGAGCTCATGGGTGCGAAACAAAGTCAAGTCGATGCGCTAATGCCTTTCGGTCATTACCAAGTCCCTCGGAGATGGCTTAAACGTCAGTCCCCTAGAGCTTATGTTCATGTACAAGCATGCACACAAGTCAGCTAGGTATAACAAACAACTAACAGTGAAACAAACTGAGTAGAATGGAGTTCTAGAAAATAAAAAAAAAGGTGCTACCTTATTATCTATGGAAATCCAATTGCATTGTTCTAGAAAATGTGCAGTTGTATCCGAAAGTTGATAGTAACCCAGCCTGAGGTTTGCATAACTGATTACGAAAGCAGGGTAAAATGTAGAGAACAATTTCGTTCCTATTTGAAGCAACTCCGTAATAGTCCATTAAGAATGTTATTAAAAAGATATTGATTATGTTTTTTTCCCTTTTATCACATACAGCTTTACAAGATTTGCAACACGATTTGGAGTTCTTGTTCGGTTATCTCGAGCTTGAACATCCTACTTGTGGCCGTCTACCGTTTCGTAACCGTTCACGTCGACCCCTTTGGAGTCAAGATCCTCGTGACCACACCTCGATGCATCTTCGCCTGTGCGTTGGCGTGGGTAATTGGCTCTTTTCCGTGGATCGAATTCGTAGCGAGTAATTCGGGATTTTGGATACCTGTCGCTATCTTAGTGGTTTTTGCCAGCACCGGAATCTGTTACGCACTTTTTTACCGCGGTTTGACGCGGTCACGCCCGATGGGATGCGGTGTGGGCGTACACGAGCAGCGGTTGAGAGAGAATCGTCGTGTACTGAAAACTTTCGCAGCCATTTACCTCACCTCCATCTCTCTCTCATTGCCGATTACCGTGACTGGGCTTTTGTCAGCCCGTGGCAATCCGACTTTGAAAAGAATTGGAATGTCATTGTATAATTTAAGTATGACCGCTAATCCTATTATTTATTGGTTGAGATCGAATGAATTGAAGGCTGCGGTGAAAAAATGCATATGGGGCAATCGCGTCGAGCCAGTCGAAGTCAACAAAGTTATATAGGATGATGGATTCATTATGTGATATATATGTAGCTATAAATTAATGTTGATTATAAATTCATTCTCATTTTGCATAAACACATGTTAACAGTGGCATAGCCGGTCACTGATGATGCACTAATGTCGTGGGTTAATGAAGTTGAGACGTGTCAGTCGTGAACCAAAACCGCTAGTCTGTTGAATTCCACACATGAAAATCGGTAGGAAGTGTGCCATCCCTCATAATAACTAACTATGATCTGACTTCATGAAAGAGTGGTTGCTTGTGAGCCTGATTACCGGTAAACTACCGATAAATGATTTCAGTATCATCAGCTGTTACAGCAACGTTAGATATGACAATCACAATGTTCATAAAGTGTGCATTGCAAGAGAACTTGTTCTTTTAAGACTCAATCACGGTAAGAATTTCTTCATACTCGTAGAAGTTGAATTATTTTGTGTTTCAACATCGAAGAAATTGTTTCTGTTCTGAATTTCTAACATTTTAGACTACCAAATTATCGATATTGTTGCCAGCGAACAGGATTAAATCAACTTGAATTAAAGCTTATCTGTACTAGTTTACAGGAGGGATTAGACCACTCTGCAAGGTCACTTGACAAGTGGTTATCTCATCAACTCAGCTCACAATTAACATAAGAAAAAGAGGATTATAGGGGACCAATGGTCACCGATTAGGCATTGTTTTCTATATGGAGGGAGCAGGTAGCTAGTACAGTGGGCCTTTAAACCTCAGTGCACTTTTTCTAATGTGTGATAAGGCCTACTCCGTAGAACCGAGATTAATTTTTAAAAAGGTTCAAATGGAAATCGCTATGTATGACGCTTGTAATTGATTAGTTAACTGTGCCAGACGGCTATATTTAAATGTCATATTTATAGTTGCCATGCACTCACAATAGCTGTTACCGATCGACGGACTTGCTAATCGCTTCGTGTTGTTACGAAAGCATGTTTAGTTGAAAAAAACATTAATCAACGCTCATGTCAAAAAGGAATTGTTTGAAGACAGGAACGGTTAAAGAAGCAAAAGGTAATTGGTTACATTGGCAACTTTAATTTAGTCACCTCATACAGAATGATCGAATGCCATACAAAGGGCGTGCAGGAGTGTGTTTGTAGACGCTACAGAGAATGGTGAACGATTTCTCATAAGACCATGCAGTGTCTCTGATACCTGACAGGAGCACCATGTACTAGGAACATGCCATTTTTTGGTAATTCGATTATCGGTATACTGCTTTGATTATTCTCGGTTGCAAAAATTGATTTGAATTGAATTGAATGGAAGGGGGTGACATTTCTTTTGACAACTGTAATGAAAGAGAAAAAGGTCGGTAATCTGGGTTAGGGAAATTGTTTGTGTAAAGCATGGATGTCAGGTCTTATTGACTTAATAAACCAATCAGTGAGATGCAAAGAGGTTCACACTAAACATAAAATAACGTTATTGACAAAGTGTGACAAGAAACAGGAGTTCTGTGAGGGACACAGCGTGCTATTACGTTCATAATGAGTTCTTAAATGATTGACACAAATCCTGTGTAAACTCTAAATATCGACATTCAGCACTTAATATAACCATCGAAGTTATTATGAATTTCAAAAAAGCCCTTGTGAATATCAAACGGGTCTATCTTCATTTCCTTCTAAGAGTAGGTTACCATGGTAACTTCACATACAATTTATTTGACAAGAAGACCTTTCGAGTTCAATATTAGCAGGCATAAAGGAGCATGTCTACTTGAATAGTTCTGATCCTTACTCCTGTTATTTGTATTCATAGTTGGTGTTGTATGGCATTTTGACTTATTGGCGAAGACCTTTTCATTTCAAGCATACAAAATTGATCATATTTGTGTGATTATTTTTTCCAGCAACGTTAGATTGAGTGTGATATTGATTTTTTTAATGCGAAGTGCAACCCGAATCCGATAATATTCATGTTTCTTCGATGATTATGAAGTTAACTGTGTCATACGCTTTTCACTTTTCATCTCCTACGGATTGAAATATTTGTTTTACAAGACTGAGATATTGTTTAACTCAAGATGGTACCTGCAGCGACTAATTTTACTCTAAACAACACGCAAGGTGACTCTCCTTCGCAGGAATCCGGATACAATTATTGGGATATCCTGGGCGTTCTCGAGATCGCGGTTTTGATGCCCCTAAAAGGATTTAGCCTCCTCTTCATCGTTGGTTCACCGAGACTGCGGAAACAGCATAACGTCTTTACCTTTAACATGGCGCGTATAGACTTCGTCACAGCTCCGAATGCGATTCTTATCATTGTCCTTGGGCAATCGAGTATTGTAAGTTGAAAGTGTGCAACTGAAAATTATCTTGAGGAGGTGGAATGACTTAGTAGAAAAGCATTGGTCTCGAAACCAGAGCTCCCGGGTCGATACGCGAGTTCCTTTCAGTAAAAAGGCATTAATTGTCATTACCAAGTCCCTCGGTTACGCACTTCTTTACCGCGGTTTGACGCGGTCACGCCCGATGGGATGCGGTGTGGGCGTACACGAGCAGCGGTTGAGAGAGAATCGCCGTGTACTGAGAACATTCGCAGCCATTTACCTCACCTCCATCTCTCTCTCATTGCCGATTACCGTGACTGGGCTTTTGTCAGCCCGTGGCAATCCGACTTTGAAAGACATTGGAATAGCGTTGTATAATTTAAGTATGACCGCTAATCCTATTATTTATTGGTTGAGATCGAATGAATTGAAGGCTGCGGTGAAAAAATGCATATGGGGCAATCGCGTCGAGCCAGTTGATGTCAACAAAGTTATATAGGATGATGGATTAATTATGTGATATACATGTATAGCTATATATTCATGTTGATTATAAATTCATTCTCACTTTTGATAAACACATGTTAACAATGGCATAGCCGGTCACGGATGATGCACTTATGCCATGGATTAATTACGTTGAGACGTGTCAGTCGTATACCATAACCGCTACTCTGTTGAATTCCACCATGAAAATCTGTAAGAAGTGCATGTGCCATCCCTGATAATAACTCACTTTAATCTGACTTCATGAAAGAGTGGTTGCTTGTGAGCCTGATTACCGGTAAACTGCAGATAAATGATTTCAGTATCAGCAACTGTTAAAGCAACGTTAGATATTACACTAACAATGTTCATAACGTGTGCATTGCAAGAGAACTTGTTCTTTTAAGACTCAATCAGGGAAAGAATTTCTTCGTACTCGTAGAAGTTGGAATGTTTTGTGTTTCAACATCGAAGACATTTTTTCTGTTCTGAATTTCTTGCTTTTTAGACTATCACATTATCGATATTGTTGCCAGCGAACAGGATTAAATCAACTTGAATTAAAGCTTATCTGTACTAGTTTACAGGAGAGATTATACCACTCTGCAGGGTCACTGGAAAGGTGGTTATCTCATCAACTCAGCTCTCAATTAACATAAGAAAAAGAGGATTATAGGGGACCAATGGTCACCGATTAGGCATTGTTTTCTATATGGAGGGAGCAGGTAGCTAGTACAGTGGGCCTTTAAACCTCAGTGCACTTTTTCTAATGTGTAATTAGGCCTACTCCGTAGAACCGCGATTAATGTTTAGAGAGGTTCAAATGGAAGTCGATATGTCTTACGCGTGTAATTGGTTGGGTAATTGTGCCTGACGGCTATATTTAAATATCATACTTGCCGTGAACTGACAGGCGCTGTTACCGATCGACGGATTTGCTAATCGAGTCGTGTTGTTACGAAAGTATGTTTAGTAGAAAAAAACATTAATCAACGCTCATGTCAAAAAGGAATTGTTTGAAGACAGGAACGGTTAAAGAAGCAAAAGGTAATTGGTTACTTTGGCAACTTTAATTTAGTCACCTCATACAGAATGATCGAATGCCATACAAACGGCGTGCTGGAGTGTGATATTGTTTGTAGACGCTGAAGAGAAAGGTGAACGATTTGTCATAAGACCATGCAGTGTCTCTGATACCTGACAGGAGCACCATGTACTAGGAACATGCCATTTGTTGGTACTTCAATTATCGGTATGTGCTGCTTCGATTATTTTCGGTTGCAAAAATTGAATTGAATTGAATTGAATTTATTGAACCATTTACATGTAAAAGCAAAAAATACAATAGAAAATAGAATACATAAAACATACAAATATATGGTCAGGACCACAATGAAGATAATTGCTTATAAATAAGGCTCCCACATAAAAAAATTGAACAAAATATGATTTAGTTACCATACCCCCCCCCCACACACACACACACACACACACACAAACATACTACACGAAATATTGTATTGTTACACTTTTTCGTCAAATCATATAAACACAGACTAAAGTTGAACTTAATTTACAAAAGTGGGTAATTGGTTCTATTTGTTCACGCCAGCAACATTTAATGAATTAAGTAAAGAAGCAGGTCTTACTGTGGATTGATGAAAATAGTCTTTTAGACGAGTGGCATATGAATTGATATTTAAATTTTGAATAACATATTACCATACATCTCAGGAAAAATTGTATGTCTTACAGAGTACATAATAATAAGAGTATT